CCCCAAAACCCCAAAACCCCAAAACCCCTAGATTCTATTATTTAAAATAAATAATAATTATTCATCATAATTAGTAATTAAAATGTAGAAAAGTAATAAATCTTTTGATAAAAAGGACTACCCAGATCTACCAGATATAGATATAAACTAATTAAACCTAGATATTAAGAATCTTCCCCCTCTACCTGACCACATCTAGTATAAGGTCGCTAAAGCTCCAGTGGCAGATATTCATGGCAAGCTAAAGAAACTGGAAGAGTCTGAGTTCAAAAATAAAAAGCCATTCACTCTAAAGAGATCTGAGTTCAATGTGGAAACCTATTGGGGGAGGTTTAGACATCAATTTTCAAGAATTAACCCCTCCCTTTTCTTTGTAAATGACAAAAAGATCAGGGAATGCTTGTAAAAGGTAGAGAAATTTAAGATTAGAGAGGAGGCCTCTGATAACATTGGAGCTAAGGTATATCTTAAGCAAGAGGAGATTGATGAGCTTATATATGCCAATAGAGTGGTTGGGTCTGCTGTCCATCCTGATACTAAGTAGATAAACCCTCCTTGGTTTAGAATGTCCAGCTTTGTACTATTTAATGTGCCATTGGTATTTTTAGTATTGTTCGCTCCCAATCAAACTCCAGCTTTCAACGCAAGCTTGCAAGGTATGAATCAAACTTATAACGCTATGATGAACTATGGAAATAGGAATGCCTCAAGCCCATACACCAACGAGGATATCCTCAAAGGCTATGCATTTGCAGTCCTTACCTCTGGAGGTATTGCCCTTTACAGTAGAAAACTACTAGCTAGCAAATTAAAAGCTCTGAAAGGAGCAAGACTAATCTTGGCTAACTCTGCTCTAGGTTATCTAGCTGGTGCATTTGCTGGTGTTGGCAACGTAGTAATGATGAGATCAAAAGAGCTAAAAGATGGCATCTAACTCTAGAATGAAGAAGGTGATGTCAACTATGGAAACTCGAAAGTTGCTGCGTAACAAGCAATATTCTAAACAGGATTGTCTAGGTTTGTACTGGCACTGCCTGTGTTATTCTTCCCTGCTCTTGCTAACTTGGTGCTTGAAAAGTTTGGACTGTGGCCTAAGAGAGCTAGATTAGCTAATTTAATTGAACTTATTTTATGTGCTTGCTCACTTACAGTGGCATTGCCCATGAGTGTTGCTTTGTTCAATCAAAGAAGCATGCTCCCTAGAGAGTCTCTCGAAGCTGAGTTTTAGGACTTAAAGGACAGCAAAGGCGAAGTCATTACTCACTTCTACTTCAACAAAGGATTATGATTTAAAAAAACTATCAAACACAAAAGATTTTTAAATATAAATTCTGAAATTAAGAATAATTTTTAATGGTAAATTTAATAATCTCAAATCCATATCTACCTTATCAATCTTTAAATAAATTCAAATCTGGGTTTTTCCTGTTAAACATTACTTTTTTCCTCATTTCCTTGTTATGCTGTCTCGTAAGATATATATCTTACTTTATCTTAAGTTTTTCCTTTTCAAAAAGTCTGTTCTCTAATGCATCCTCCTTAATGAACTCCTTAGTGAACTTGACATCTAATACATTCAGCTTCTGCTTAAACTGTCTCTCGCTCATCATCTTGCCCTTTTCTAAATGTGACTGTAAGTTCTTCTTGAACTTATGCGACTCTTTAATCTGCTTAACTCTCTCCAGCTCCCATTCCTTCTCTTCCTTGTCGAATTTGACACCCTTGATCTTCTCTCTGTACTTCTCCTCCTCCCTTTCAAGGAATTTCTTGCGGTCGTTCCTTTATTTCTCCTTTAGCATGTTATATACAGACTTAGACTTCTCTCCATACTCACGGAAAGTTTTTATTTTATTTTCCAATTCTTAGAGTGGCAGATAATCCCCATGTCTGATGAAATGCATGTCAATGATCTTAGGCAAGACCTGCTTGTTTGCTTCATAGTCTACCGCGAAAATGTTCTCATCACCACTTGATAAGTTATTCATGTCTCTTTGGTCTAGGTTTGTAAAGTCATCTGACTTTCGTTTATGCCTCAGTTTTTTAGGTTTCTCTTAGTTCTAAGTAATCGAATGCTGATCAAAACCTTCGCTTCTCATAGTGTCCAAAAGGGATTAGACCTGAGGCAGGTCTGGTCTAAAGGCGGATTGATCTATGATATCTTAAGAAGGAATTGTAAATTCATTTGTGTCATTTGTATCCTGATGTCTAATCTTAGGTATCAGCATTGAAGTAGAATGACTTTTTACAATAAGTGGATTCTTCTTTTTAGTATTTAGATTTAGTTCATATTCCTAGTGAATAATACTATCCTGCTATTCCTTTATATGCTTGGTGATTCTGCGATTTGTTTCAAAGAGATTAACATAGTGTGGATTTGCAGCTCTTCCCTCAGCTTATCTTCTTGTATTAATAGTTGATACCTAAAACTTAGCGACATCTGAGTTGTACTCATACAAATCCTTAAACTTCATCAAAATGTCTATCAGATTACTTGGCTAACCATCCTATTACTACCTAGCTGTAAGTGACTGAATGTCTTTAATGTTCTTAAATTTGATAGCTATATCCTTATTTGTTAACTTGATTCTCTTAGATTTACCATTCCCGCCACCTTCCTTAGGTGATTTTAAACTATCTTGTAATGTTTCATCAAGGGATTTGAAAGTTTGCTTCGTGGCTGACATGATTGGATTAGATTGAGCTACTTCATTTGCTACATCTTTTTCCTTCAATATACTTGGAAGCTATAACTTAGGGCTTTAAGTTGGTGATAACCTTTGTCTGAATGAGGCAGCACCTTATTCGTTTTGATTTTAAACTAAAATCTAAGACCCTCTTTTAGAGGATCTTTCTTTCTACAATAGCATGCCTTTTTTATCATTTGAATTTATTGGAGAATTTTTAGATGTTTGAAACATATCTGGACAAATTTACTTAAATATGTCTTTTATATCAACACCTTTTGAGCTGAGGTCTCTCAATGTAAATTTTGGCTTGTTTTCGGTTAAAAGCAGAGCATCTAAATCATTTTTAGAATATACTGGAAGATTTGTATTGGCTTCAATTTGCTGTTTTTATTTATCAATTAAAAGCCCAAAATCATCTATTCTGTCTATAGACATAAATTTCTTTGTGATTTATATGTCATCAAGCAAGAATATTTTATCTAAAGGTTGCTAAATGGTAGATTGTGCCCCTACTTCAAGGTATTACATAGTCCTGGCAGATCCAAGACCTTTATGACTTGGCTTTTAATATATTGGTGTTAAAATCTCGAAGCCTTTCATTTTCTTATAGCTTTTGGACCTTATTGTATCCTCTTCATCACGATGCTTTTACACAGCATGGAGTAAATTATGCGAGAGTCCTAAGCCTTTATGATACATTCCGACCTTCCCAAGTGAGTAGCCCTTCTCATAAAAGATGTTCGACACTCTATTTGGGTCTTTAGAGTTCAGGAAATTAGATTTGCCCTTATTATTTCCATGATGTAAGTTTTTTTATTTGTATAAAACTTCAAGTGGATCAGCTCCAAACATCTGCTTAAGACTTTCATCTTCATTCCTCTTTGATCTTATGTTGTCAATTTCTTAGAACTTAGTGAACTAATTTTTCATCTCAGCTCTAGACTAGTCTCCTTAACTTCTACCATCTCTTTTATTTTACTTGCCGTGATCAGCTCGAGATGAATTATTGTTAAGCTAGCTATAATCCTTAAAGTATTTTAGATTATGAGCATAGTACTTGTATTTATCAGATCTAATATTTTTCTCTAAAGTTGATAAGTTAATCTTATCTATTTAGCCATCAGCTAAGATTGGATATTGATCAGCTATGCTTTTATCTAGTTCTTTATGATCGTCAACTGAAGACTCAACCTCAAACATTGAAGGTTAATTTGACATTTTAACTTGTATTATATTTACTTCAATGTATCCAAAGATTAAAAATCAACATTTAATTTGGGGTTTTGGGGTTTTGGGGTTTTGGGGTTTTGGGG